GATATTCCGAGCGGCTGGTATATGCGCGTGCTATTAGCGGTCTATCAAAACTCCTTTCGCAAGGTTAATGTGGGACAAATTTTCGACGTACACGTTCACCAGTTGGCAGGGCAGTAAAATCGAAGCTGACCGTCCTTTATGGCGCACGACGGCGTGTTTAAAATTATGAATTCGGGTTTGTTCGCTTCATTTTTTGGTTTATGTACGACTGATTAGAAATTCAACGGACTTCATTTTCGTACGAATGAGTGCGTTTTTAAGAGCGTATTCAGAGAAGAAGAGGGAAGAAAAAAAGAAGAAGAAAAGAAACGGAGAAGAAGAAGAAGAAAAAGAAGAAGGAAGAAGAGGGATGAGGAGAAGACAAAGAAGAAACTTGTTGTATTGTCCCTCGATGCATACCATTACCACACACACACACACACACACACACACACAGCACACACACACACACAACACACACGACACACGCCTGCGCGGCTACACACACACACACACACAGACACAACACACAACACACACACACACACACACGCTCACGGCTCACGCACACGCACACGCACACCGCACACGGCACACGCACACGCGACAGCGCACACGCACACGCGACACGCACCACGCACACACACACAGCACACACACCACACACACACATATATTGATATATATCAAGAGTAGCATAATAACGACTTATTACTACTTACCTTACATTGATTAGTTATTATCTACTCCTTGATATATATGGAGTATAAGAGACAAATATTCTTATTAACGTCCTGATATATATATATATATATACTATATATATATATATATATATATATATATATATATATATATATATATATGAGTATATATTATAATACCGCACACGAACGGTATCATTATGGTCATTATATGAGGACGACAATGTAAGATTAATGTATATGTGGGACCTAACTAGGGATGCCACTCAATATACACTCACTATAAGGGACGCAGATTCTTATGCTGTCGTCGTCACGGCGACACTGTGATTGGAGTGAGCTAACTCCAAGCATTAGCTATAGCTAGGGGGTGGGATTCGTGTTGGAAATCCCACACACGACAAACGTTAAGGATGATAACAGAAGTCAGATGCACGGTCACCGGTGTTCACTGCACCTAGAACGGGGACGGACGATCTAGAGGAGGTGAGGAGAGGGGGTGGGGAGAGGGAGGTGGAGGAGGGGAAGGGAAGATGGAGATGAGGAGAGGGGAAAGTGCGGGAGAGACAGGGGGAGGGGAGAGGGAGGTGGGTAGGGGAAAGTCGGGAGAGGCAGGGGGAGGGGAGGCGAGGTGAGGGGCTCTCATTGGCAATATAATTATTATGGCTAGTCAGGCGGGCAGGCTACGGCAAATATACGTGTGTTTCGTAGCCGCAAGTACCAAGCGTATGAACATATAGACAAGCGCGAAGCATTTGCGTGTTATAATTAGTCGATGCCCAGCATGCCTCTTCTCCCTCTCTCTCGCTCTCTGTTCTCCTTCTCCTCGCTCCTCCCGCCGCTCTCTCTTCCTTTCTTTCTATCTCTCTCTCTCTTTCTTCTTTCTCCTCCCCACATCTATCCCGCCGCTCTCTCTTTTCTTTCTCTCTGCTCTGCTCTCGCTTTCTTCTTTCTCCCTCCTTCTTCTCGCTTTTTGCTCTTTCTCGCGCGTCCCCTCTCCCCCCCCTCCTCTCTCTCTACTCTCTCTCTCTCTCTCTCTTCTCTCTCTCTATATATATATATATAATATATATATATAAGCGTGTGTGCACCGACAACGTGGCGTGGTTGAATTGTGCTTCGAAAAACACGTGTTAGTTAAAAGCATGCGCACCCGATTTAAACCGAGGCCCGATAAAGCGGGGGGGGGGGGGTAAACATGTTACGCTGACATGTATTAGACAGCGCTGCCAGAGTAGCAGTCAGTAGAAAGGTCTAATTTCGTACGCGCTTAATTAATTTCCTACGAAAACATTTCTCGCGCACCGCTGTCAGCGAGATTTAACCAACGCTACATTGGCACACTTTTGCCCCAAACCACTACCGCTGTTTTACCGCGTGTAGGGCGTGCCCGCATTGCGCAGGTGCGTGTCCTGCCCTTGGCAGCTCCCGTGACAGACAGACAGACAGCGACAGACGACCAGACCAGACAGACAGACAGATCAGACAGACAGACAGAACAGACAGCAGCAGACAGACAGGAGACAGACAGAGCAGAGCGGCAGACAGGCAGGCAGACAGGCAGACAGACAGACAGAAAGACAGACAGGCAGGCAGACAGGCAGGCAGACAGGCAGACAGGCGGCAGACAGGCAGGCAGGCAGACAGACAGACAGACCGACCGACACACAGACAGACAGACAAACAGACAGGCAGGCAGGCAGGCAGACATACAGACAGACAGCCAGCCAGACAGACAGACAGCTCGCCGTTGCAGGCTTCCGGTTAATTTCCCCACAATCGGCTTCCGCAGGTAAATCTGAACGAGATGAGAATGACAGCGTGATGGCGGCGTTCTCGCTCATATGCATTTACACGCTGACACATTTCTGCCTCGATGACAGTTTTGCTTATTACGCACAGTGGAAATCGACGCCCGAGAAGCCAAGGGTTGAGGGAAGGAGAGCTGGAGGGGAGGAGAAGGGGAGGGGAGTAGGAGGGGAAGGGGAGAGGGAGGGATGGAGGAGGGGAGGGGTGGAAGAGGTGAAGGGAAGGACGAGGGTAGGGGAGGAGGAGGGGAGAGGAAAAAGAGGTGGAGGGAAGGAAGAGGGGAGAGGGAGGGGCAGGGGGAGAGATAGGAAAGATGCTTTAAAGTTCACGGTTCTGCATGCATGCGTGCGTGTGTTCAATCACTCATCAATCTGTCGCCTATGCGATTCATTTCTATTTTAAATACATTTATTTTTTTAGTTGAAGTATTTACGGTTTAGCCATGCTCCGTGTCAAAATCAACGTGGTGATTAAGCTACTCGAGAAAATATCGCGATGCAGCGCAGAACTATACAACGTAACATATCGAGGAACGGGTGTAAATCAACGCGTTCTGCGTGCAGTTCCCGCAGTTATGGTTGTATACTACAGCAACCGCTCGCGCGCGCGATCAGCCGAACTTACAAACAACTTCCCCTTTACCTCGGCAGCGGCAGCAGCAGCAGCAGCAGCAGCGACAGAACCAGCCTCACCTGATCACGGTATACGTCGCTGCGATGTTTATAGGCAATTAGGAGAGACAAAAGGAATTTCCCCAGTGCGCTGTACGCTCCGCGTATATACGGCTGGTAATTGCGTCTAAAATGAATGTATATTAAAGTCCGATCGACCGCGTGTGTACCTCTTGCTGCATGCTCTTACTGCGGCTCATAGGGTATATGTCCCCCAGGGTACTGCCGGTACGTACCCTGGGTACGGTCCGGTATACCGGAACGTACCCTGGTCACTATTTGATATGGTTAGGGTTAGGATTAGGGTTAGGGTTAGGGTTAGGATTAGGGTTAGGGTTCGGGTTTGGGTTAGGGAGTAGGCGTAGGCGACTCCCTAGACTCGTTAGTGGAGTAGGCGAGGTACGGTCCGGCATATTAGATAGTACCAAGGTACGTTCCGGTATACCCCACCGTACCCAGGGTACGTTCCGGCAGTACCCCGGGGGACATAGACCCTCTCAGCCTTACTAACAGTGACAATGTTGCGAAGACCGCGCGAATGCGTCGAGATTTATTGGCAAATATGTACAATGATTGATTGATTATTTGATTGACCCAAGCAATTTCATTAGCAATCTGTAGTCGCCAGGTGAGTGAGTGTCAACAGTGGCGATATAAACGCGGTCTAGGTCTACGCGCAAACACGTTTCCATTACAGTTTTTGTTGCCATTCATACAAACCCATTTACGCATCATGACAAAGTATTACTGCAATATTTCATATATCATACGAGTCCTTTTGGAAATCTTTTTGGTTTCTATGGAAAATTTGAACATCTACTTCTCTCGGGCGTTTGCCGTTCTTATTTCAAACACACTTTCAACGACATCGCGTGACCGATTTCAGCCAACTGGCGCTGATCTTTTATACGTAGCCATTATTAAATTAGCTCGCGATAGGTGGCGCTGATGTTCACTATCTATCTGTGTTCACGTTCCAGTATAACACTATGGTATATAAGATTACGTGGCTTTGTTAGTTAAGTACTATCTGTAATGGTATCCTGTTATGTCAGCATAATGCTTGGGTACACCTATACAGGTGCGGGTCCAAGAATTAAAGAAGGAAATGATGGGGTGGGCTGCGGGCATATGGAGCGGCTGTGTGTGAGTTGGGGGGGGGGCAGGTGTTATACACACCAAAACAGAATTTCATATAGAGAACACAGTTGCAATCCGACCGAGTTTGAATATATATTTTCAAGGGCACGATAGCGCCATATGTGCTCCTTATATTTTTTTTTATTTGGAAGCACTCTATTCTATTTAAAACCGAGAGAAATCTTTGTCACATACTATAGACAATCAAACTAGCAGTCACGGAGATGCAAACCCCTCGCAAATCCCCGTGGTCCCATACTCCGATCTCGCTCTTAATTGCAGAACTATAAATAATATTCATGTGCTGTATACATCCTGCGTGAGTCGCTCACCTAGGTGACGCCGCTAGCCCCTCTCACGTGGAATTGCATGTCGATAAATCCCGGAGGCCGCGTGGCCTAATGGATAAGGCGTCTGACTTCGAATCAGAAGATTGAGGGTTCGAGTCCCTTCGTGGTCATTTTTTTTTACCTGTATTTATTTGTCAGACAGCTCATCGCGTGAAGAGTATGTCTACGTGAGCAAGCCACGATAGACCTTTCACCTTTTATTGCATTTTATTCCCTTCCCCTGTCCTCTTCTCTCACTGTCCTCAACAATTTCCTTACTCATTCTAAATTACAATTAGAAGATATATCGCGCGGTAAACGTCTACATATCTTATATAGGTGGAATGCAATCAACGTAACACAATTAATCACATCGAATAGATTCGATACGCTGATTTTATTAAAAGATAAGTTTCATTACATAAGTTTCATTAGAATACGGTGCACGTGCAGCTATTCCGAATTGTTCAATAAAAGGGACAATATTTAATTAAATAAACAACGGCGTTGAGATAAAACAAGTAAACCACACCGTATTTGTTTATTTTTGATGATTATCACCTCTCTGCCAATCAACAGTAAATCGTATGCCATCTACGTCTGCGCCACGTATTTTTTTGTAATAATTTGATACAGTAGTGACATATCTAACGTACACAAAACAAATATAATTTCAGTGCATCGCACATAAAGCAAAGCAAATGGCCTAGCCACTTTACGCCTAGTTGCGGTTACTAACGACGCGACGTGAACATAAAATTACACCAAGAGCATAAAACCCATGGTTTATATGTTTTTAATTACACACATAATGAAATCGCATAAAAAATATGTTTTTGTATATAAATGCATTATAGAATAGCACCATGTTTCCATTGCCAACGATATAACGATGTATGAGCCTATCTTCTTCTTATCATAAAATTTTAATTAAAGATATTTTATCGGTAGGTATTCTGCCGTAAGATGGCGTGATTGCCCTGCTTCTGTTTCTGCGCCATTATAATTTTAATTTTTTTGCTGTCGCCGCCACAGAACTATAACAATATTATAACAAATTGCTATAGTTCAGTGGTCGCCACGCGCGCAGCCCGACACAGCTTTCGCGCAGCACTAACGAACGTGCCATCTTTCATGGTCTGGCTATTATAGCGGGCACAGCCCTAGAAAGGCGTGTGGATAGGTAAAGGAAGCTACGCCCTTTCACTATGCGCTCTCACCCGACCGGGACGTGCGTATGCGTGTACAGTACACACGCGGTATAGTAAATACTCACAGTCGAGAGCCGCAGCTGTAGAAAGCGACAGTATTTCGTGCACGGCAGCAGCAGCGGATCAAGCACCTCGCAGAATTAACCAAAACGACACTCAACGGCCTATTTTTCACCACATGCGTATATTCTTATGCAATAAATCTAATTCATATCAAACAAATATGTCTCTTCTGTGGTTTATTGCACAGGGCGGTATTGGCTAAGGAGTTAAGCGCGGGGGGGGGACCAAGACGGATATGCCCACAGTCTGGATATGCGATATATTCGTGAACGCTGTAAGATTCCCGTCGTGAAACAGACCAACGTGAGAGCGAGCGAGAAGTGCTTTTTGCGTTCTGCGTCTGCGCTGACAAAAAGCAGACGAGTTTTTGCCGCCAAGCTACCCACGCTGACCGTAGAAGGGGATCGAGTCGAACGTCCTAGATTTCTCTATCATGCTCTCGACGCTGGAGACTCATCGGCTTCTACGATTCTTAATCTGCAACAGCAAGCCAACGAAACGGGGATGTCATTTAATTGCAGCGTAAGCCGAGACTACTGTATATAGGAGCGGACTAACGAGCAGAGAAAGAATATAATCGTGGAGCAGCAACCACAGGCACTTGGGACAGAGTCAGTGCACAAAAAGTTATATATATATATTTATATATATATTATCATTATAATGGCGATACAGCACACTCGCAGCGGCGAGTGCGGGAGCGTTCGGCGTTAGTTTTTATGAAGGAAAGTTGATATACAGTGACACAACAGTGGAACTGTAATTGAGAGGTACGGTAGTAGTTACGGTAGTCCCTATTTGTAAATGTGCGTTCATATTATTTTCATTTTTTATTGACTCTGTCCCAAGTGCCTGTGGCAGCAACAGTAAACGCAGTACGCGACAGGAAGCGCGTGAAAGCTCGCGCGTTGTTAAGTGCTGCAGATGGGGTCGTTGTCGTATCAGGTACTATACAGATATGTACCCGAGGTACATATATGTATGCACAAGTGTACCTGACCAATGTTGTTTCTACATAACCGTACCGCTGCGCTCCATAAATGTACCCAGGCGGGAAGTCTCGTTCAGTCACGTGGTATTGTCGTAAAAGCCGGAAAACGGTATAACATAGGAAGAATTTAGCACCTTCTGATTGGCTGGAATTTGGCAAGATGTCAGCCTCCATGACTTGTAGCCAAAATCCCGAATTATTTACCAAAAACCCTGAGGTCAGCTGTAAACTAATCGGTCCACGAACATAAACAGAAAGTAGAACAAAAACGTATTGCGTATAGGCCCCTACACTGCATATCCTGATACCTGTTAACACTGCCGTATAGGCGGAACGATACGGATACGCAAAGCGTATTATCATTTCCTAACTAAACCAAACTCGGCAGCTATAACTTAAGCCCAGACCCTCTGATAACAATTAAGATTAAGATGAAAATAACACATTTGCACAAATAATTGCAATTATAGTAATATTATATGTTATATTAATGAGTAAAATATGTGTTTTTCATGGAAAATACATCAGAAAACTTACTTATCTAACGGTTATAAACTAAAACAAACATTTACAAATGGCGTTTGTTCTCTTGTTTTGAAGGTTTACGACATTCTCGTACTTTATCGCGTGGTTTCATGTGCTGCCCGCGGGGCAGGTACGTTTATGTAAACACAGGGTACATATATGCTGAGAAGATACAGGTATGGTACACTTGTGTATACATATACGTACCTCGGGTACATATCTGTAGTACTTGATACGACAACGACCCCTTCAGCTCAAGTGCTGCGTCTCTTTTAGCAGACGCGCTGCAGTAAAGCTACACGCTAGCAGACACAAAGAGAGAGAGAATGAGAGAGCGGGAGTCAGAGAGAGAGGGAGGAGAGGTAGCGGCGGAGGGGAGAAAGAGGAAGAGAGAGGGGAGAGAGAGAGAAAGGGAGAGGGGGAGAGAGAGGGAGAGAGAGAGGAGGGAGAGAGAGAAAGGGAGAGAGAGGGGAGAGAGAGAGAGAGAGAGAGAGAGAGAGAGAGAGAGAGAGAGAGAGAGAAAGGGAGACAGAGAAGGAGTGAGAAGGGGGAGGGAGAGGAAGAGGGAGAGAGAGGGAGAGGGAGAGAGAAAGAGAGAAGAGGGAGACAGAGGGAGAGATAGAGAGAAGGGCGAGAGAGAGACAGAGAGGGAGAGAGAGTAGACTAATAGAATAATAGAATAGAATAATAGAATCTACGGCACACTCACCGTTCCTGTGGGACAGTCTAACCCTGGCCGCTGCCTCGGCGGTACCGAGCTCGTTCTGGGCATGGCAAGCGTAGGTTCCCTCGTCGCTCGCACGCACACCATGGATCTGCACCCACGAGGTGACCTCGAACTGCTCAGGTCCCCCGCGCGCCTGCACGGCGATGTGGTCGTCATCCTCTGAAAGAGGCAGAGAGTTTGACGAGTATGAAATCATCATCGTTGTCGTCGTCGTCGTCGTCGTCGTAACAGTTGTCATCATTATCATCATCATCATCATCATCATCATCATCATCATCATCATCATCGTCATCATCATCATTATCGTTGACGACGTCGTCGTCATCATTATCATCATCATTCTTATCAACATCATCATCATCATCATCATCATCATTGACATCATCTTCAGCATCATTGTCATCATCATCAACATCATCATCATCATAAACAGCAGCAGCCCTGCCGCCTCCACCACCATTCTAGCATCAAGGCCCTACACTACAGTTTTTACGTACTTGGCAAGTAGACGACTTCTCCACTCGCGCTGGTGAAGCTCCACTCTACAAGAGGAATCGGGTAACCCATGGCCTCACACGTCAGGATGATGTCATCTCCGCTGAGATCCAATACGTCGGTAGGTGGCGTGGCGATCCATGGAGCTGAAGGGAAAAGCCGAGCAGATTTCATTAATGTAACGTGACATTGTTTTTTCAGAATGTCGACCATTTTATCCTGATCAACGTTAGAGCTAATGCTGCTGAACTGAAAGAGTGAATGCGCAAATTGCCTTAACTCGGCACGAATGCGTTCGTCGGTGGAATTCTCAAGTACTTATGCGAAACTGTTTGATTCGAATCGACAGTGTTTTCAAAAGTAAATCTCTTTCATGTGCAGAATTAAACTCGTAAAGCTATTGTTAGTGTTCGCGGATATCTCTCATGGTCGTATTTCATATTATATGTCGCCCTTTTCTATAAATCCCATGATACTGGGAAATATACCATCACATGTATCTTATTATCCCATCGTATGTGGACAAAACGTCAAATTAAACTGGTTTTATAATATTGCAGTATCTTAACTCAAGTACTTATGTGAAACTGTTTGATTCGAATCGACAGTGTTTTCAAAAGTAAATCACTTTCATGTGCAGAATTAAACTCGTAAAACTATTGTTAGTGTTCGCGGATATCTCTCATGGTCGTATTTCATATTATATGTCGCCCTTTTCTATAAATCCCATGATACTGGGAAATATACCATCACATGTATCTTATTATCCCATCGTATGTGGACAAAACGTCAAATTAAACTGGTTTTATAATATTGCAGTATCTTAACTTGAGAGTCTTCACAGTACGTAATTTAGTCTTGTAATATATTTCGTATTTATGGTACCCTATTTTAACGCCAAAGACTCTCGGCAAGTTGTTTTCAGTTTTACTAATTCGATCACTAATATAGCATTTTGAAGCAAGAATTAAAAGCAAGAATTTGAAGCAATAATAGTGTTTACAATTTCGTCAAACGAGCCAGCAATGGCGATGATATCTTAGTGATATTCTTTTTGCAACATCTCTAGACAGCAACTCCCCCAGAAACCTTCGTTGCGATGGAAGTTGTAAACCAGAACACCATCTGCCGCACACATGGCCCGCGCATAGACTTTCGAGGTTATGGCCGCTTGGGGCTGCATCTACGCCAATTCATACTGATCCTTTATCCTTCATATCCTGACTGTCGTCCTTCAGCAGCCATATTGTATTTTTCATGCAAATCCACTCATTATCAGATAGAACAATGAGAGTTGCGTGTACTATAACGACAATGCAGAGTTGCCGTTTCCCGCGGCTATCTTTTCGAACTGGGACAATGACCTTGCCGCTCATATACTTTATGATAATACAGTAGTAGTAGGCTATTTCCTAGTCAGCGTGCGGCTAACTAAAGATAGTTGCTATTACATAAGGTGGAGTAATATAATTCACTCCACTCGCTACGGACACCGGACCAGACGAGCTATCCAAGCGGCATCGACTTTTATTGCCTCTAAACTACGCGAAACACACCCAAATGGTCAGTTAAGGTACATGGTGTCTTATGAACAATAGGTAGTTAGTTAGACGGATTGTTTGTAAGTTCACCACTCAATTCGAAATTATCTAATTCGTACAGTACCTTACATTATTATACAACCATCAAAAGCTGCGACCTGTGTTAAAACAGGTGTAAAATATTGCTTTATTCGGAACGACAGCGGATGCACACAAAACTGCTGGCGCGGATTAACACGTAAGTAGAATAACCATAAACGTAGCGCCGGCACAAACCTAAAACCGGACCGCCCGCTAGCATGAAACTACCGCACGAGTGAGTAACGAACGTAGAACCGCGGGGGTAGTTATAACCACGTTAGTAATTATTTATCTCTGTGATCCACACAAGCGACAGCACGAGTTGCGGTATCGCTCTAGATTCGCCTTTCGCGCGGACGCATCTTTCGTCGGTTAGTCGAGCTACGTCGTAAATAACGAATGCTGCGACGCCTTCTGTTGACGTCGGTCGGTGTCGTCGGCACGCGTGATGTACGGATGTACCGCTGCGTGCGGTTGCCAGCGAACGCAAGCAATTACAGCAGTAAATCACTTACTGAAGCGGGAAGGAGGGATAGAGGGATTCCAACAACGGGAGAGAGGAAGAGAGAGGAAGGTAGGAGGGACGGGAGGGAGAGAGGGAGGGAGGGAGAGAGGGGGGATTCTATCAAGGGTAGGAAGAGAGAGGGACGGAAGGGAGGGAGGGAGGGATTCCATCAGATGGACATCATCCCCGCTCCCGATACCACGTAGAGACATATGCACACATGCACGCACGCCCGCACGCCACGCATGCGCGCACACACACGCGTTCACGCATACACGCACTCACGCACACAGACAGCGAGTCCTAACGTTTCTCGCACAATCAAGCATCTGTCCAGTTAGCAAACGCCTTGTTTGACACAATATAATACACTGTAATTCCCTTGTCAGCTCATAATGCCTACATGACAAAGTCTTCTCTTTCTCAAACAATAAAATTACCTCTTTCACGCCGGCAACTAATTAAAGCTCGCGTTTCTCAGACAATCAAGCGTCTCAATAAACAGTGAAATATTGTCATGGTCTATCGCTCGCTTTGTGGGGTTTTAAATGAATTGTTCACAATGTCTATCGGTCTCATATATATATGTCTTCATTATTTACGTCAGGACATTAATGCGAAAACGCTTCCCTGCGCGCGTGCATGCATGCGAGCGTGCGTGCATGCATCTCGCATACGTGCATGTGAGCGTGCGTACGCGTACGTGCACATGCGTACATGAGCTTGAGCGTTCGCGTGTTCGTGTGCGTACGAGCGTACCGCTGCGTACGTGTATACCCAATCACCTACCGCGCTCCCTCCCTTCTCTCCCACGACACCCTCTCCCTTCCTCCCTGGACACTCCCTGCCTTCCCTCCAGATACACTCTCTCCCTTCCCTCCCGCGACACTTTCTCCCTTTCCTTCTGCGACACTCCCTCCTTTTCCTCTCGCGACACATTCTTCCTTCCTTTCTTCCTGGGACACTTCTTCCTTTTTCTTCCCGCGACATTTCCTTCCTTCCCTCCTGGGACACTTCTTCCTTTTTCTTCCCGCGACACTTCCTTCCTTCCCTCCTGGGACACTTCCTCCTTTTCCTTTTCCTCTTACGACACTCCCTTCCTTCCATCCCGCGTCCCTTTTACTCACCTGTCGCGCACGGGCCTCTCTTGGCGATCTTCACTTTCTCGTGGTTGCGGTAGGATTCCTCCATCAGCTCGCACAGGTTCTTGTACGTCTTGCCGTTCTCCCCGCACAGCACCTCCTCGTGTTTACAGAAGCAGACTGTCTGCTTAGCTTCCTCCGCTGGGTAGTCCTCCCTGCACGAACGGAAGCATAGATGGGTAGATAGATACATACATAAATAAATGGATAAGTAAATAAATAAATAAATAAACAAATAAATAAATAAGTAAATATATAAACGGTCTACTTGGCCTCCTCTGCCGGGTAGTCCTCCCCACACGAATGCATACATATAGATGGATAGATAGATACATAAATAAATGGACAAGTAAATAAAATAAATAAAATAAATAAAATAAATAAAATAAATAAAAAAATGAAATAATCAATTTATCAAATAATAAATTAATCAACAAACAAATAAAATAATTAAATAAACACGGACTACATCGTTGTAAGCAACCCCGACAGTTATTACGCGACCGTTCGACATCTCAATCCCTCCCACCATCCCCCTCCACAATAGGCGAGGTATATATAATTTCCGTCGCTTAATTTTGCATTTGTAAACGTCGCCAGCGGTAAAGCACCCATCGCCTGTGTGACTATGATCGAGCTGATGTCACGAATTCTCGCTGGTGCTGCCCCGCAGCGACAGCCAGCAGGTACACAGCGGCTACGACGCGGGGTTTTTATAATAGCCATGACGGACGGGCGTTGATCAGGACGTAGCTACGACGTCGGGTTTTTATAATAGCCGTGACGGACGGGCGTTGATCAGGACGTAGCTACTACGCGGGGTATTTATAAAAGCCGTGACGAACGGGTGTTGATCAGGACGCAGCGACGATGTCGGGTTTTTATAATAGCCGTGACGGACGGGCGTTCATTAGTACGAGCAACGACAGTGGGTTTTTATAATAGCCGTGACGGACGTGTGTTAATCAGGACGCAGCTACGACGCGTTTAAAAAAATAATAGCCGTGACGGACGTGTGTTAATCAGGACGCAGCTACGACGCGTTTAAAAAAAATAATAGTCGTGACGGACGGGTATCGTCGTCGTCATCGTCGTCATCGTCGTCGTTGTCGTCTTCGTCGTCGTCGTTGTCGTCGTCATCATAGTCGTCTTCGTCGTCGTCGTCGTCGTCGGCCTTGTCGTCCTCGTCGTCGTCCTCCTCGTCGTTGTCATCGTCATCGTCATCGTCATCGTCATCGTCATCGTCATCGTCATCGTCATCGTCATCGTCATCGTCGTCGTCATCGTCGTCGATCTCACCTGTAGCGACAGGCGAGGTCGTCGCCGCACTTGTACTCGTCGTCGCATGGCTGACCCTCTCGCATCGCGCACACGTAGCAACAGTCGCACGCGTCCTTCACGAGCCCCGCCTCGCAGTCTCGCGGCACGCGACACTTCTGCTCGTCGCACGGACCGCAGTCACGCGACAGCGCCGTGCCGACGGCGGCGCAGACCATTGCTAGCATTAGCCACTTCATGATTTACCTGAAAAACCGACATTGCAACATCGCAGGGTTGTGGGAGTCGTGGAGTATGGAGAACAACATTGGAACATATGGGAGTCAGGAATGATACAGTCCACTTTGATTTTTTTTTTATCCAGCTACTTCACGTTTCAACTGAGAGAACAACATTGGAACATGGCAGGATAACGTTGCAGAAGGGAAGTCAGGAGCATTGCAGACCATTGCTAGCATCACCCACTTCATATTTCAACTGTAAGAACAACATTAATTGCAACATGGTAGGATAACGGTGCCGAAGGGAAGTCAGGAACGCCACATACCACTGCTAGCATCAGAACCTTCATACTTTACACGAATAGACGCAGTATATAACGATATGGTAGAAATGACATGCATGCATCAGAGGCCTGAACCACCTCTACATGGCACAAATCATTTTACACAAACCTTTATGCGTTCTACAGGCTTATCACTAAGATGCTACTGGCCTGTAACGTGAGTGATAACGGTGATGAGAAGTCACAGTACCATGCAGCGACCTCATGAATGACTAACGTTGAGACAAGAGGTGTGTGGGTCAACAGTACTGGGCGTGGTTTCCCTACGCTAGCTTCCCGATATGAGCCCTAATGCAGTGCACGACACAGGTCACAGTACCAGCGACATCATGCTTGACATATCAATGACGGGGGGGAGGCAAGAGAACGTTGGGACAATATCGAGCTGTGTGGGTCAGCACTGAATAGACACATCGGAGCGTGTGTGGGGGCAACACTACTGGGCGTGGATTCGCTTGGCTAGTAGCTTCCCTGGGGTACCATACAGGTCACAGTGCCAGGCACTTGTTTCAGCCGAATAGTTGGGGTATAGTAGCGTATACACGCACACACACATACGCGTACACCCACCCACACACACGGCCCCCGCACCATGGTGTTTCGCTACACCACCACACACATCACACAACACACACACCACACACACACACACACACACACACACACAACACACACACATATATATAATCGTCTTTCTTGAATCGTGTGACCTTCGTCTAATAATATATATATATACGTCTTTCTTTGAATCGTGTGACATCTCGTCAAGATATAATATATATATATTAGCAACTTATTCCTATAGTCCCAAGTTTTTCTCTACACTATCCTCCCCGTAACTCCCCCCCCCTCCTCTTCCCACCGCTAACTTCTTCGATCGTTTTCGACAACGCTCTTATTTGAATTTTGTTTTGCTTACGTAAGCAGGCCATCACGCTCGCTGTAGAGAGAGCTGAGGTTGGAGACATCAGTTGCGTTGCTCTCATAAACACACTGCTAAGCCTGTACTAAAGCTGGTAAAGCTACGAATGAGGTCACCATGGCGGAGGCAGCTAGGGCCTCATGAGCGCGGGATACTTAGGAAGGCTAAAGCTTATGGCGATGCTGGGATGTTGGAGGCTTGTCGTGGAATCGGGTTATAATTCTATACGTATCCATGTGGAATTGCACGCGTGCGTACATCGGCTTCCACATTATTATCCCTGCGCTCCGGGGCGTGAACGATAACGAATGGAAAAGGATTTGTGCGCATTTTAAAATTTTTGCTAAGCTAAAGTAATCGGTTCGTTAGTGCGGTCCGATGAGGGAAGCGAGGAGAAAACCATGGTTTTCATCGCACGAGTTTCCGACATTGCATCCTCTACGGGTGCAGGTTTACTATTAAGCAGCTCTTGATAAATACAGCAGGAGTTAATGAGACAAATTTGTCTCATTAACTCCTGACAGTGGTATACACAGAATGACGTGATCAGTTACCACATTATTATTATCCGCTCATTGAACATATATAGTCGGTTTTAATATCGCCGAGGAATTCGCACAGTGTTTCATCGTAAAGAGTCTCAAAAGTCGACGACTGAAGCACACACTCGGATATTCAAATTTGTTTTCTTAAATCGATACGATTCTAGAGCTGCCATGATAGATATATTCAAGATATATTTGATGAATATGTTACCCAGTAGCGGCATGAAATGTTAATTGACCGCGAATTGCGTTAAATATTCCATTTAGGCAATCTGAAATCAACAAGGAGGTGAAACACGAGTCGCTCGCTCGTTAGTTTCGCGTTTTATTTATGCGCGCAGACTTCTCTTCTCTTCTCTCGCGTCTCTCTCTCTCTTCTCTCGTTCTCTCACTCTCTGTTCTTTCTGTCTCTCTCTCTCCTCTCTCCCTCCTTCTCCCCTCTCTCACTCCACACTCGCTCTACCATACTCACGGAATAATCGAAGATCTGAGCTATACGGAGATATGATAACACTAGCGCGACACGACGTCCACCGCTAAGAGAATCTCACGTGTATCTTCTCCCTTTCGCAACTACACCACAGCTTCGATACTACTGTCGACGTGCGCAGCGAACGACACTAGATACACTCTTTGATTTATATTCGTTACCCGGGCAAGCTTTGGCTGTAGCCGTGGGGAAGCGGTGCGTGGTTGGTGGTAATTGGTCTGTGTATAGAACAGGGCGTGCACTGCAGGGGCGGTTTGGGAAGTCATCTTCTTGACGGAGCACGGACGCGGGCCCAGCATGCGTTACAATAACTAGTAACAGGTTAACTCCCGCGCGCACACGCACCACACGCACGAACATACACATACAACACACCACACACGCATGTACGCGCACGCCACGCACGTGCCCATACACAGTCTCTCTCTCTCTCTCTCTCTTCTCTCTCTCTCTCTGCATCTCTGCACACACATAACCTACCGCACACGATATAGTTCACACACGCAGCAGACACCGCACGCACGCACGCACGCAACACACACGCACGCGCAACACGGACACGCACACACACTCACACACACGCGCGCAGCTACACACAGCACATCACACACACACACACACACAAACACACACCACACCACAGCACACACACACACACACAGACACCCCCCACACACAACACATACACAACACACACGCACACACGCACACACACACACACGCGCACGCGCAACGCACACACACACACACACACACACACACACACACACACACGCACACGCACACGCCCACACACGCACACACACAAGCACACACACGCACACACACACGACGGTCAATAATGCATGGAATTAAGCTGTTGCTGGGAACGTCTTATATAGTTTATGCGACAATGACAACAACTATTATTATATATATTATTTACTGTAGTGTGGCGGGCAAAGAAGAGATGTGGAAGGTAGCGCCTTGCAGGCCTATTACGCATATCGAAAGCGAAACCGTTGTTGCGTGTTTCCCCGTTCTAGCACGCGAGGTCCGATATCAAACGAATTCGGTTTAAATGTTCACATTTTTCAATCGTGTTACGTGAACTTTAGGTTCGAGTCCGAGAATCCCCGCCCGCATCTATTTCTGACACGCCGCCACATCAGCAGCAGCAGCGGCTGCGGCTGTTTCTCAGGAAAGCAGAAAACATCACCGCGCCCTCGCCGTACGCCAGATAGCAGCGGCGTCTCGAGTTTCCTCATTTTCGGCCGCAGCTGAGCAACGCCCGCCGGCCCGCGCGCGCGCACCCAGCGATCGTCTGCACGAGTTCACGCAGCGCCATCTATGTTCGGCTAGAAGAAACTCGCAGTAAAAAGCTCTCGTGCTCGTTACTGGGTCTCCGTGTGGTGGGGCGTATTAAATTTACGATGTGGTGTAAGTGGAAGCGTGACGGAGACAGGATACAGTGTATGATGACAACCCGTTAGTGTGCACGCGCAAGTTTTCCGACCCGACACGACGTCTGACTAGGTCACAGTATTCTGTACGACGGTACTAGTAATGTATCTAGGGCATGAGACTTGTATACTCTTTCAGTGAGTTTTCCCTAAGTCAGAAATATTTACCCCCTTACGAGCGATGCCATACTTACTGGCTGTTAGGAATCAGCATAATATAATTATTATCGTGATTATAACTAACCTATATTCGATATATCACTTCATATATATATAGAGAGAGAGAGAGAAAGAGAGAGAGAGAGAGCGAGAGAGAGAGAGAGAGAGAGAGAGAGAGAGAGAGAGAGAGAGAGAGTCACACACACACACACACACACACACACACACACACACACACACACACACACACACACACACACACACACATATATATATATCGTCTTTCTTTGAATCGTGTGACATCTCGTCAATACATATATATATATATATATCGTCTTTCTTTGAATCGTGTGACATCTCGTCAATATATATATATATATTAGCAACTTATTCCTATAGTCCCAAGTTTTTCTTCACCTATCCTCCTCGTAACTCCCCCCCCCCTTCCCCACCGCTAACTTCTTCCGATCGTTTTCGACAACGCTCTTATTTGAATTTTGTTTGCTTACGTAAGCAGGCCATCACGCTCGCTGTAGAGAGAGCTGAGGTTGGAGACATCAGTTGCGTTGCTCTCATAAACACACTGCTATAGCCTGCTACTAAATCTGGTAAAGCTACGAATGAGGTCACCATGGCGGAGGCAGCTAGGGCCTCATGAGCGCGGGATACTGTAGGAAGGCTAAAGCTTATGGCGATGCTGGGATGTTGGAGGCTTGTCGTGGAATCGGGTTATAATTCTACACGTATATCCATGTGGAATTGCACGCGTGCGTACATCGGCTTCCACATTATTATCCCTGCACTCCCGGGGCGTGAACGATAACGAATGGAAAAGGATTTGTGCGCATTTTAAAATTTTTGCTAATGCTAAAGGTAATGGTTCGTTAGTACGGTCCGATGTGGGAAGCGAGGAAGAAAATCATGGTTTTCACCGCACGAGTTCCGACATTGCATCCTCTACGGGTGCAGGTTATACTATTAAGCAGCTCTTGATAAATACAGCAGGAGTTAATGAGACAAATTTTTCTCATTAACTCCTGACAGTGATACACAGAATGAGTGATCAGTTACCACATTATTATTATCCGCTCATTGAACCATATATAGTCGGTTTTAATTCGCCGAGGGAATCCGCCAATGTTTCATCGTAAATGAGTCTCAAAAGTCGACGACTGAAGCACACACTGGATATTCAAATTAGTTTTCTTAAATCGATACGACTCTAGAGCTGCATGATGGATATATTCAAGATATATTTAATGAATATATGTTAACCCAGTAGCGCGCATGAATTATTAATCACCGCGAATTGCGTTAAATATTTCCATTAGGCAATCTGAAATCACTGAAGGAGGGGAAACACGAGTCGCTCGCTCGTTAGTTTCGCGTTTTATTTAGCGCGCAACTTCTCTCTCTCGCGCTCTCTCTCTCTTTCTCTCACTCTCTGTCTTTCTGTCTCTCTCTCTCACTCTCTCCTTCCTTCTCCCCCTCTCTCACTCCACACTCTCTCTACCATACTCACGGAATAATCGAAGATCTGAGCTATACGGAGATATGAAACACTAGCGCGAAACGACGTCCACCGCTAAGAGATCACTACGTGTATCTTCTCTGCTTCGCAACTACACCACAGCTTCGTAACTACTGTCGACGTGGCAGCGAACGACACTAGATACACTCCTTTGATTTATA